TATGCAAATTACATTAGCCTCAGTATGGTTTGCTAGGGTGAATGCATCATTGGTTGCGGCGAATTACCCATACTTTTATAAAACGACACTTTCGTTCTTTTTTCACGTGTTTTCCTAACTATTGGTATCATATGCTTCCATATACTTTATAAATCCGCTTTAGTTTTTTTTTGAATAATGTTTATTTATTTATTGATAAAAACTTGAGATTTTATTTGGAAAAAAATTTAAATATTAGAGGATTTTAAGTACGATGGATGTGAAAGTTGATAATTTTATTTATGAATTTCAAACTCAAATTAACTAGTTAATTAAAATCTTAAACTTTCTTTCAAATGGGATCATAAGTTTTTACCATTAAATACACAAACAGTATTTAAAATAAAATTAAATCAGACTTATAGAGTATATGAAAGCATGAAATACCAATTGTTTGGAAAACATTACTAAAAAGGGGGGCAAAAAAGTCATTTCATAAAATTATGAGTCGTTTGTCAAGGCCAACAATGCATTCATCACTATGAACCACGTTAACGCTAATTTGGTATATATAATAGTCATATTTTACATATAAAAAGTGGGGGTAATTTGCACTAAATTTTAAAGTTTAAGGTCCAAGATGCTATTCGCGTAATAATTTGAGGTCCATAATACTAATTAAAAATGATACATTGGCGAGAGACTGCCGCATTAGCATTTTGACTGGGCCCCATTGAGTGAACAATAACGGCATTAATTAGCAGTTAATGATGGGATTTTATTTGCTATGAATTTAAAAGTTTAGAATTCATTTTTTATATTTCAAGAGTTCAGAGTCCATGAAGCTTTTGGTACAATATTTTAGGATTCATTTTTGCTCATTAACCCTTTATAATTTTATAAAAAAGTTTCTAATTATATGGCAGAGTTTAAACCAGTCCTAATTATATGATGAAGTTTTTTTAATCAGCAATTATATGGCAGACTTTTAAAATACTGCTTGGTCTTTAACACATGATTGTTCATTTCAATGAAAAGAACAATTGGAAAATTATAAAATTTTCACAAGTTTAGGATATCAACCGTCACTTCTTAATAATCATGAATTTAGTTAACATTATAGTTTTTAGAATATTTATTTATTTATTTATGGATTAACACTAATTAATAAGCCCAAACAGATTGGTCTTTATGATCTTGTGTAGATCGTGATAGGAGGACCACACAAATGAGTCCAATGGGCAGAGGCCCAACCCACAACCTAGTAGCCGTCAGATATTCCCTATCTCTTAATTGACTGAGTCAGAGATAATAAAATATATATAATTATTTATTATTTAATAAAATAATTACCGATCTGATCCAAAATAAGACGATTAGTCAATAGCCGTAAACACACGACTCATTTCTTCTACTCTATTATCTCTAAACTCTCTGCAGGCTTTGGAAACCTGTGGTTTGTGTACCTGTCTACACTCGAGGTAATCAAGATTTTTCAAACACTCATGAATTCTTCAAATACATATATATTCTTTATTTTTTTTGTTTATATAAATTGAGATACTAAATTTTAATAATAGTAACATCTTATAATTAGGATCGAGAAAAGCATTAAGAGATAGTGTTACTCTATTCCTTTAAAAAACATTAAATTAGACAAATTATGTGCGAGTTGGTGCACCCCACTATTAATAATTAGTTTGTCGCTTGTCAGTTCATTGGAAATTTGGAACACGAGTGAAAAGTTAGGAACAAGAGTACAAAAACGTAACCAAACTCTGATGTGAATTCGAACACTTTGACGAAGCGCCGAGCGATGAATTCCCACTCTGTTCCACATCAAAACCAAACGAGATCATGCATGCGGATCGCCATCTTCATCTATTGCAAATTTATTTAAAAAAAATATTACCTTTTTCATACTAATTAATTCTGTTAGAAACTATGAGCTATTTTTAATTAACTAAACTCATCTTCACCAAAGGAGTACTTTCCACCTTAAAAAATATTTAACATTATAAAAAAAATGCCTACTCTTTTAATGTCTACCTTTATTTAATAGGATGTCTTAATTACAAATAACTATGAATATTTCATTAATTTTAAATATTTATCAAGATCATTTTGAGAAAAATATTTTCATTGCTCTTAAAAAATAACATAATGTCTTATATTTTTTAATATGACATGTCTGAAAAATACATTTTTGACAAATAACTAAATTAGTTAATTTATTTTCTATTTTGTGTATTCATTAACCAATTCTTATATTTAAGAGGAGATGTTGAAAGCGATAAATTGTAGTTGCCACGTAGAGTCATGAATAAGGATCGAGCTTGACGGGCTGCCCGTTTTAATAAAAGTTTGGACTTTAAAAATTTGGTATTTTTTGGGATAACCGGGCTTCGAACCCCAGCCCTTTTAAGCCCTAAAAAAAAGGCTCAGGCCCAGGTGGCCCGTGAAGCCCGTTTTACTTTTTTTTTTTGGTATTGTAGGTGATGGTGATGATGAAGCCCGTGAAGCCCTAAAATTTGGTATTGTAGGTGATGATAATGAAGAAGCTGCAGAGATAGTTGATATTAAGCCTCCACCTCCATCTTCCACAAGTGAACCTACACCTGATGGTTTTAATATTTTATTTGTGAATGACGATGGGGATCTTGATTAGGATTGATGATGATGTTTGCCTTCGTCTTATTTGGACTTTTAAATTTTTTATTTATTTTTTAGATTATGTGAGACTTTAGTTGAATATATATTGAATTATATTTTATTTTATTCCTATCAGGGCTTATGGGTCCGACTCTAAGCCCTTTGAATAAGGGCTGAGCTTCAATGTTAAGGTAAAATTAAGATAACTAGGCTTAAAGATCTAAACTCATAAGGGCTGAGTCTATATAAACTAGACCTGTCCGTTTACCAACTCTATTGCCATGTGAGAAGGAGGATGAGAAAGATTCTCTCGACTATCAACTATGTGCCAATTGCCAACTGCCAAGCCGACCACCCAGAATGTTGTGGGCCACAAAACATATACAAAAAAATGAAGGGGTGTATTTTTTTTATTGTTTTCTAACCGTGTACAATTCTAAATTGTTGGATTTAATTGAAAGTAATTTTTAGAAAGATGTTATCTATATTTATATGAATTCGAACTTGAACTCAGAATTTTAAATTTAATCAAACATGACTATATAAAAAAAATCTATTTTATAAATAACACATTCACGATGATTTTTGTTTGTCTATTGCATGCTTTCTTTGTTATAATTTGATATGGTATTTTAAATAAATATACTTTTTTTAATAAACAAAATATATCGGTCATGGTGGACAAAGTCATTGTCTCCATTAAGTTATGCAATTTGATAATTTGAGCAGGTCAAATACATTTGAGAAGATCAGCCTAAATTTTAAAAAAACCAATAGCCATTCGGGCTGCCTAAATTCCTTCAAGTCACAATATCCAAATTACATGCCTATTTGGATAATCCTTAAAAGCACATCTAAATTATAGCTATGATATGCTCTTGGCAAATTCAATAAATAATTGGATCCTCAAAATGTATTTTTAGCAGAAGTAGTGATTGTTTGGGATTCAATTTAATTGGCCTAAACTATAGTTTGTAGGCTTAAAAGCTAGTTAGAAGTGAAAAAAATATATTTGAGCATGAGTAGTCGGAAAATGAGCTTTTCTTTTTCAACTACAGTAAGGTCAAAAGTTAGATTTTGAAGTTTTTATATTAGATACATTAAAATCTAATCGTTAGCAACATTTAATGCATTTTAAATTTATTGAGTGACCTATTTATCCTGTCACATTTCCTTTTAAAAATTGATATTTTTATTATTTTATATATATATATATATATATATAATATTCTTTAAATAGATCTAATTAATTTTTTTAGTATTTAAAAATATTTTCTACATTATTACATTAACTCTTTTTATTTTTATAATTATAATTATAATATTTTCTTACATTTATCAAATTTCATGCTTATACTTCCTCCATTAAAAAATGTAAGATATTTTTGAGAAGTTTAATGTTAAAAAATATAAGATATTTTTAATTTTTTGAGATGTAATTATTGTCTTTTTTAAAAAAAATACCCCTATTGATAAATGATTCTATATTTATTATAAGGTGTTTAATATGTGTAAATATGAAAATATAGAGTTAAAAATGCCTTACATTTTTGAACGGAAGAAGTATGCGTGTATGAGAGAGACATACAGCGCATGTTCTTTTTAGTTTTTTTTTTACTAGCTCCTATCATTCTTAGTTATTACATATTTAAACTTACTTTTTAGTTATATTATGCAAACAAGTTTTAATTTATCAAATTAATTTTTTATTGAAGAGTATTTAAATATAAATCATATCACAATAACTAACTTTTACTCTGACTTCAATTTGCAATATATAGTTTATGCAAAATACAGTTTTGTGAATGTTAATCTGAACAATATTGTAAATTAAAATTCAGAAGAGCACTGCATATATTAATGTATTTAAATATTTAAAAAAATTAATTTTTTAGTCTTTTAATTTTTAACTCATTTGTAATTCAGTCCCTTAACTATGACTCATTACAATCCAGTTCTTCAACTATAACTTATTGCGATTCAGTCTCTTAACTTTTGATTTACTTATAATTCGATCTTTATTTTTTAATTTTATTTAAAAAAATTTCTTATTAAATAAGAGAGATAAAAGAAATGTTCATTTATTATTCTAAAATACCTCCTCTTATTCTTTAATGTGATATCTAAATTAACATGAAAAAAGAAAATTAAAAAAAGTTGAGAGAATAAATTATAAGTAATTTAAAAGTTGAGGGATTGAGTCATATACGAGTTATATTTGAGAGATTGAGTTATAAATAAATTAAAAATTGAAGGATTAAAAAATTAATTTTTTCTAAATATTTTTATCAGTTTTACATTTTCTTTTTTATTTAAATTTCCATTTTATTTTCTTTTATTTCTGCAGCCCAGGGGCATCAACATCATCTTCACTCCCTCACTTGGGGAAAAAATCAGCGTCTTCTCATCTTCTTCACTTTCTCTGTCTTCGAATAAACTCTCTCCCTCTCTCTCTTCCATATCTTCCAATCCGCTCGTTCACTTCTTGATCAGACTCACACATTGCATTCTCCTCTTCATCCGCACGAAAACCTTGGCAATTGATTGTTGATTGTTGTTGGATTGTGGTGTCCGATTTCTCACTTCAAATCTGGACAAGCTTGTGCAAATGGAGCTACAATCTAAGGCTTCAATGGTTCTGAACGAAGCTGAGTAGATCAACAGACTACATAGAAGATGGTCGCCGTCGCCGTCCCCGAGCAGAGAAGGACCGGGAGCAGAGTCATCCGTCAGCGAGAGTGCCAGAGAGGCTGAGAGAGTGAAGAATGAAGAAGAATAAAGGTGAAACAGCTGTCAGCGAGAGTGTGAGTCAACTCGAAGAAGAAGAAGGGCTGGGTAGGGTTTGCTTTTTCTTTGATGTGATCTCGACTTCGACAGTTAAGAACTGAAGAACGAAGAAAGGTAAAACTGAAGTGAAGTTGTGGACTGGCAGGTCCTCGTGCGTGAAAGACTCTAACGAAGCGCAGCGTGTCAAGTATGCTCCTTCCTTTCGTCCTTGTATATAAAAAAATTTTTAATTTTTTTAAATATAAAAAATTGTTACTATATTTTTTAATAAATAAATTATTATATTCTTATTAAATTAAAAAAGTACTTTTATTAATTTATTTTTAAAAATAATATTTATTTTTTATTTATAATAATTAGAGTAAAATTAAAATATTACTGTGATTTTAATTAGATAATTAATTTTTATTGATTTATGTGATTCGATTAAAAATATCTGATATATAAAAATGGAGGAAGTGACTTTTTTTTAAAGTGTTAAATTCAGCTCTAATTTTTTTTGGAGTTTGCTTTAGTGTGGTCTAGATTATCAGTTCTACTCCCAACACACAGAATTGTTATTTATGACTATTAATATTCTTACCTATGAGAAAGTGTGATGACAGCATGAAAAAATTCATTTAAATACATATAAAATAATTTCTTAAGACAAAATTAATAACTTCACCTTTTTTTAAAAAAAAAATTGGTAAGGTTGTTGGAGGTGTTTTATAATAAGGATTGGAGTGATAATTAATAATAATGTTAATTGTTTTCTTAGAAGTAAAAGTTAGTTAAAATGGCTTATAATGTTAATGGAGGAATATGGTGTGTGGCTTGATCACGTTAGATTTTATAATTTAGTTAATTGATTAATGAGATTCATATTATGTAGACACACGCGCAAACATGCACGGACGCATGCATGCATATATTATTAGTAGTTGGGAATTCGAATCAAACCCTTATCTATATAGTAATTTAATTAGGAGAGATTTACATTTACCTTCCATACCTTAAGCAATATAATCACTGCCATTGGTGAAATCTACTTCTTTTATGTACTCCTTCCGATTAAAAATGTAAGAGATTTTTAACTGAATCTCACCCTTCAATAAAGTAGTTACCTACTTTTTAACTAACCTTATCTTTTCATATTTATCCCTATTAAATACCCTATAATAAATATAAAGTTATTATCAATAGAGGCACTTTTGAAAAAAAGATAATGATTACATCTCGAAAAATTAAAAATACCTTACATTTTTAAACATTCAACTCCTCAAAAAATCTCTTATATTTTTGAACGGAGGGAGTAGTGTAACATCCTGATTTTTATATAATAAAGAAATTGTGGAATTTAGGTTTTGCGGAAAAAAAATGATAATAATAGAAATTTATATTATTTGAGGTTATTTAGAAATGATATTATGGTTAGATATTTAATTATAAATTTAAAAATTTAAATTTAAAATCACATAAGCAATATTTAGTTAAGATATAATACATAAATAATTTTTTATTGTGTGTTAAAAAAAAAGAGAAGGTAGAAGGAATAAAAAAAAGCGGGGGTGGAAGGTTGTTGTTTTTAAGTCCCACATTGGTTAGATGAGGGAAGAGAAGAGGTACCTTCATGTATAAAAAGGAGGAGGTGTGTGCATTAGGAAGCATGAGAGGCTAAGATGTAATTTAGAGGAAATTGCAACTTTTGGCCCAAAGGTTTAAATAATTAAATTCGAACCTATAGTTTTTTTTAATATAATTTTGGGACCACAATCCCATTTTTATATTATTTTTCTCTCTTCCTCTCACGTTGCTCGGCGTTTTTCTCGTAAGGGGGGATTATTTTCTTTTTCTTCAGGTATGTTCTAACTTTCCTGTTTATATTAGCATTTAAAAATTTATTTAATTATAAAATTAATTTTATAGTTATTTTCTAAATAATATTAGCTTTCTAGTGATATGATTATTTTATAGGATAGAGTAAATATTCTGATTAGGATTTTTTTCTATAGGATAGTTAATCTGATGATATGATGGATTAAAAATATAGGTTAAAACTCTTAGGGATATAATAAATATTATAGAATACTTTCTTGAGGTTGAAACTCATGTTTAAGAATTTTTGAGTTAAAATCTAGATCTATATGGTCGAATTTATGTGAAATCTGATATATAGGGATGAACCTCTGATTATTAAATATTTATTTAAGTATGAATAGGTATTTTTGAGGTTATAGAAAGGTGATTTGAGGTTTCAGGATAATTTTAAAATTTTTAATTTATTTTTGGATGAATTTTTAGAATATAGAAGGATGAAATTGTGATACTAGAAGTGATTTGAGGATAAAAAAAAGTTTATTAGGGTACGAGAATTTTAAAAAAAGAATTTAGAAAGTTAAATGAGGCATAAATCTTAAATTAGTGTTAATATGAATTATAGATCTAAGACTTTCTAACTCTTAAAATTAGAGTTATTTATTTTAATGTAAAATTAATATATAGTATTATGAAATAACTATGTAGATTGTGTTGACAAAGATAGTGGTGAAAGAGGAGTTGTGAAGGGGAACTTGTTATTCAAGACACAAGGTAACCATTATTAATGTGTTGTGATGAGTGTGTTTGTGAATGGTTATGTGTTGTTTTGTTGTTTGGAAAAATTATGAATTATTGAAAATAAATACTGTATATACTTGTTTGAAATTATTGCCAAGTGGGTTAAAAATTTATTTTTGTTTATCATGATGAGATATTATTGTTCGGATATATTCCTGTTTGGATATTTGAATGATGCATGACTTGTCAGGGTATTTTAATGTATGATGTTAACGGGAATTTCTGTTCTGTTAATTATTACCACGTGGTAAGCCCTCATTGGACCCAATGAGTGGCGTGTTGCTTGGTCCAACTCACCTTTGGCCGGGTGATTTGGCGTCCGAGCATGGTGAAAGGAGGATATAAGGTGCAGTCATGCAATTAAATACTTATTCGGTTTGTTTGAAAATATTGTTCGGTTAAATGTTTTGTGTGTACCACTTAGCAATCGCATGATTAGTTACATCCGCATGCATCATTACATATTAATTTTTGGTTACTAGGACTTTTAAGTCTCATTCACCGTGGTTAATATTTTTACAGGAGCGAGTCCGGCCGAGAAAGCACCAGAGGTGTAACTATAGTGTGTGAGACACCATCTTTTACGTTGCCTCTTATTTTGGATTATACAATGTATCTTGTGCCAACTTAGGACATATTTTTTTTTTGGAGCATGTAAACTCTAATCCTTTTTATTAAAAGTATTTATATGACCATGAGGATTATGTCTGTCCCTCATGGTTTTAAATTGTTTTTTTGAGATATTTTAAGACCTGTGGTATATTGTCTTGGATGTACCATGGTAGAAATTTTTCTACCATGATAATGATTTTAATAATTTACGAAAAATTAGTTTGTAAGTTTGAGGGTGTTACAAGTAGCAATTTTTTTTAGTGAACCCCTTACATTTTTTGAATGGAGGGAGTAGCAATTTTTTTTTTTGAGTGAATCCCTTATATGTAACAATTTAGTTTGAAAAAATACACCATTTGCCTTTCGTACTTATGCTATAAAATATTTTATTATTTAAACATGATATAACTTAATATCAAAATATATGATATAATACAGTTAATAAAATATAGAGGGGGGAATACTACACACTAGAAATTATAAAAATAGTAAACATTTGCTATTTTTTAGAATTTCTAAAAATAGTGAATATTTATTGTTTATAAGAGAGGATGTAATGGAAATTTCAATTTTTTTTCATTTAAATTAAAGAGGTAGAATTGAAAATTTATTTTATTTTTATATAAAATTAATGATGTAATTATTTCTACTTGGTTATGGTGAGATCGTTAAGTGTGTCTTATGATGGAGAATGGAGAGACTTTAAATTCAATATTTTTTTGAAAAAAAATAACAAATATGTTGTGATCAGTGAGGGATGGAAGTTTTAATCAAGGTTCTCAAATTTGCAAGTTTAAATAATTTCAAATTATAAATTCTTAAAAGTTGCACCTTTGTTGACTAGTAGCGATTGAAAGTATATAATAAATAATTAAAATATAAAATATAATTATAATTTAATTTAAATATATTTTAAAAATAAATGATTAAGACTAAATTCATCTACATTGATAGATTATTATATTCAATATAAAAATTTTAAAATTAGACAAATTAAATTTGGTATTTATTGTTTTTTTTATTGATTTGATTTAAAATTGGGCAACTTGCATTGAGTTTTATTTTTCTTTGAATCGGGTTATATCACTTTTATGAATTGTGTTCTACGTGATAGATACTTAACTCATTCAACTCGATAAAAAATTGATGAGTTTAGCAAATTTAATTAAATTTATATTTAAGTTTAAATTTATGAATGAATTGATATGATTTTGTGAGTTAGAAATATAAAAATAATAAATTTATATATGGTTAAAGAAATATAAAAATAATAAATTTAGATAATCAACTCATAAATTTAACTGAATTTAATTTTAATTTAAGTTATTAGTTAGTTGACATAATTTAATAAATTATAAATATAAAGATACTAAATTGAGTGTCAGAGTTAACAATTGATAAAAGACGATCTACTTAGTGTAGTGATTGGGGTGAAATCAAATTCGCGTTTCAAAGATGATTCGATGCTTGTGCTGCCTAATCATTTCTTCAATCATAAAGCTGAATTTTACTTATTGGGGTAAGCGCGTTGATTTCTTTCTCTCTCTTTCCTTTTTTTTTTTTAAATAAGGTTCACGATAATAACGTAGTTACTCTTGGAAAAGGAAGTGGATGTAAAACCAAATTGCACTCAAACCTCATGCACCTTTTCCACCTGATCGAGCTGTATTCGAATATATTTTTTTTGACTGAAAAGGAATTCATTAAAAAAACTATATATATAATATGTACAAGAAAATAAAAAGTAATTACATCAAACTTCTAAAGAGCAAAAAAAAACCTATGAGTATAATCTACAATAGCTTTAATGCGTATAAAGAAAGGAATTTTATTCTAGTGTTATTTTTGAGTTTAATTGAAGGGAGCCCTACTTGAAACATTCTCAACAAGTTTATATGCTTGACCTCGATATCTAAGATTAGTTTGATCTATGATACTCCTTTTATTTTAAATTATAAGATACTTTTAAATAAAGTTTTATATATTAATAAACATCATTAAATATATTTAACAACTTTATTTTTTAAAAGTAAAAATATAAATTTTTAAAAATACTCATTGTTTAATATATTGAAAAGATAATGAATAAAAAATAGTTATAGAAAAAGAAAGGATAAAATTAAAATTGATGTATTTAATAAAATCTTAATTTGTTCAAAGTATCTTATATTTTAGGATCGAAAAACTCATTTAAAAATGTCCTATAATTTAAAACGGAGGGAGTGATATATTATTTTGATTTGTTTCAACCAATTAATCCATGCAATTAGCCAGGTAGTATGGAAATGAGAGACTGAATTACATGGCTGAGAACTCAAATTTTATTGTATCTGAAAAAATGTTAACGTGAATTCTGAGCTCAGCAATCATGATCGAATACAATAATATAAAGTTGCATGTACTTGATGGGTAACGTAGAATGCTGTTTTGTCTTGAACTGGACATAGAAATATATTTTAAAGAAAAAGGTGTTGAGAATATTAATGAATTTTCGTTTTAAATTGAGAAATACTCAACGAGGCTAAAGTTACAAAACTTTGACAATGAAAGAAGTTAACAGTGCAAGTTGGTGGGTGATTCCAATAGGTTGGCATTCACGCTCAATAATGAAATTAAAGTCAAATAGTTTGCTTGTTAAACGTGATCTCTTCTGAAAATCTCTATATATTTGACTTTTATTAGAATAAAAAAAATTGGCTAGTGAAAAAAATTCATATATTTCGCCTATAAGCTAGACCACCACGATCAATGACATAGCCTTCGGAGCAAAACAAAATACCTTCAAAGTAAAAAAAAAAAAAAAAAGAATGGCAGATATCTTCTATGCTTAATCTGGAACACCTCTATTTATTTATTCGGTCCATAAATATCTCTATATTCAACTTTCAACTTAAAGAATTTGTCAAAAAAAAACAAGAGTAAAAAGAGAACCCAATAAATTCTTGTTAAGAAAAAAAAATCTGTAATTTATTACTAAAGTTTGGAAAATAGATATCGACATGATAAATTTTAGATGAATTTGGTGCACCATGTTGTCCAATATTTATTCAATAAACTTACACTAATTTAATCAAATAAAATGTTATATGTCATTATTTTTAATGATTTTATTTTTATAATAGAATGTCTATTTATTTTATTTCCTTTACTCTCTCCATTTTAATTAATATTAAAATTAATTTATATTTAATACTATTTAAATATTATAATTTTATTAGATGAATCATGAATCATGATGACTTGGTGCACCTGGTGCATCAAAAAATTTTCTCCATTGACACGTAGATATAGGATATAGTGCCACCCCACAAACTCATAAACAAATAAGGCTGAACAGATCTATACAATTAAGCAAAAAGCGTAAGAAAAATGAGAAGGCTTTATTTCAGAATTTTAAAAATAGTTAAAAAATGTGCTGAATATTTCGAACTGTCTGTAGCCTTCTAACAGCACTTTGATTCCAGGTTATAATTTAAAAATAAAGTAATACTTCCGACAAAAAAGTGATGCCAAAGTAATAGGATGCTTTGCCTGGAACAGAGAATCTAAAATTCCACAAAAGGAACAGCCTTTATTTAACAATAAAAAATGCATCACATCCCATCATTTTCTTCGAGATTACGGAAAGATTTATTCTCTAAATCAACATTTTCATCTAATTTTTCATATTATTATAAATTTTCTTTTAGATATTTTAAAAATGATTTTTCTAATTACTAAGTTGTATATTGAAATAATTTAAGATTGTTGGCAAAAAATTTTTTTTTTGAGATCATTAGTCTCCATAGTACCTACCCCGATGGTCTAAATTTCGTAATTTCTTTCTTTCTTCATTTTTTTTTGGAAAACCCTAATTTTTTGTCTTATTTATTGGATCTTCTCCTCTCCCTGTTCAATCCGCCCACATTGAAAAGGTTCTTGAGACAAGGCACGAGAGAAATACTTAGTAGATCAAGTGAATTGCATCATTTATATAATGTTCAAGTGAAATATTTTAATTAATCAAAAAAAAATTATGTGATATTTTTTAAGTTAATTTTATTTTTATAACAGAATATATATTTAATTTTTTGCATTGTCTATCTCTCTTATCATTAATAACAGATTACAAATAATACGGTGCATCTAATTTATTTAAGTATTTCTCCACAGCATGATCCTCCGGGACCCAAAGTATGAGCAAACTAAGGCATAAATCATGGAAACTATTTTTTTTTTTGCCAGAAAATCATGGAAACCAAATAAATTCAAATTTTTTATATAAAAACGTCATGCCAATACTTGATTAATCTGACATTAAAAACACAATATATCATTGAACAATTTTAGATGATTGAGTTCAACACTATTTAAATAAAAATTTTAAAATATATTAAATTAAAAAAATAACTTTATAATAAAATAAAAACGCCCCAAGTTGAAAATAAAATAGTTAAAAAAGTTGGAAACATTATAAATAAAAAATTATGTTAAGGAAGGATATTTTAGTTGAAAATATAAAACTAGCGAGTTAATGAAATTTTAAAGGATGGATAGAAATGAGATCATAAAAATAAAAAAAAAGGTATTTTGTGAAAGAAAGAAATAAATCTCCTACTGTTATAAAAATACCAAATGCTTGGAGTAATTTGAAAAGGGAAATGAAGACCAAGATTAAATTGGAATACCCAGAACCCGAGTTGAAACACGTTAACTTTCATTTTTAAATTGGCATTTGTGTGGGGAAAAAGGCTCAATTTGGGTTGGAATTCACTTGGGCCAAATGGAAATTAGTTAGACTTCTTAGTTCTAGAAGTCCATCACTGTTAACAAAATTTGGGCTCAAAGCTCAGGCATCAAGCCCGTATTATTAGTCCAAAACATGACTATGGGTTTTTTTGAATCCATGCCGTGGTCCAGAGGATCCTTAGCACCCGATCTGTGTGATTGCTGATTAATCAAATGTCGATCAAAGCTACAATCAGCCTGCATTCTTTGAGTAGTACACTTTTATGCAGTTCAGAATATTATGCAAGAAATTAATAGTATCTTATCTTTATATTCATTGTTTATCATTTCTACTATAATATTCTCATATAAGATTCAAAGTAAATGAGAAAAATATCACTTGCTAAGTTGCAATCACACCCAGCACTATCAACGTAAGCTACAAATTGCAGAGTGCCTCGCCAATTTTTATACCCTCCGTAATTGAACGCATCCTTATAATTGAATACACAAGGTCCGTATCCTTTGATAGCAAGGAGTCTGAATCATTTAAAAGAGAAAGAGAAATAATATTACTCAATTCATCTAAACCTTACTTCCCATAAAAAACGGAATAATATCAAGTACAAGGTCTTAAATTTAAATATGTGTGAATGTTGAAAATATTTTTAAAATAACTATCCCGTAATTTGATAATGCTCAAACATGATCTAGTCATATAGTAAAAATAAAATAATAATATTAATATCAATAAAAGAAAGAGTAACACGAAAAATGAAGAAAAAGTGATAAAATATGCTAATTATTATTCTTAAATTAAATAAAAGTAAAGATAGATAATGTTAATTTATTTCCAAATCAATAGAAGTTTTTTAAAAAACGCAAAAACTTCAATTCCTTTTTTTTTTGTCAACAAAACACAAAAACTTTAATGAGTGTATCTAAATAAAGAGTTATAAGAATAGGTAAAGTAATAAAAATAAAGAGTGTATCTAAATTTATTGTTAATATCAAGGATAACAATCTAGCCAAATGAATTGATTTCTTATAATGTTGCAAATCAAAATTCAAAATCTCAGTAGAAAGGAAATGCGCATTTAATATCTGACCATTCTTTAAAAAAAGGTCTGCTAGTAAAAAGACATTCGTCTAAAATAAAAAAATTATTAATACTCCTTTTTGAGTCTTTTCTTTTTTATTTTTAAATAAAAGTTATTTGAGATGTTTAAGAGAATGACCATGATATCTTAAAAAGATCAATTCATTTAAGTTAAATTTTATAAATTTGTAACTCAAACTCCTAATTTTACAATTGAGTTATGATTAATTTGTAATTTATTTTCTAAGTTTTAACATAATTAAAAAATTATTTTTTATTAAAATTTAAAATAAAAGTTATAAATTTATTACAATAAAATTATAAAATGAAAAAATTAAATTATAAATTTTTCAAGTTTAAGATTTATTCTCTTTGTTAAAAAATGCTTTATATTTTTTGAGAAGTTGAATGTTAAAAAATGTAAGATATTTTTAGTCTTTCGAGATGCAATCATTATTTTTTTTAAAAATATTTCAAGTAGGATATTTATATAAAAAAAAATAAATTAATTAAAAATTAAATAATTATTTTATTAAAAATATAAAATTTAATTAAAAATATTTTATATTTTTAAATAAAAAAAGTAAAACTTAACTTAAATTAAAGGTATCTCCCTTATCCTCCCAAGATATTCTTGGGACCAAATAATGTGTCATGCGTTCGGAGTGCACGGGATCCACGGGGAGCGTTAGCCGTAAACCGCGTATAACCACGGTAATGTGCTGGGCAATTCTAACTGGGTCAGCTTTAACCATAGTTAGCACATCGCCTGCTATATAAACACCTCCCTAGGTCACTGGAATTTCACCGCTTTCGCTTCTCTTGTTAACCCTACTTTTGTTTCTCTTATTGTCCTTTTGTTCCTGTATTTCTTTTTCCATAATATCAATGGCTTCTGCAGATGTCGAGTACCGTTGCTTTGTCGGTGGGCTTGCTTGGGCTACTGACAACGATGCCCTCGGCAAGGCCTTTGCTCCCTTCGGCGACATTATCGAATCGAAGGTCCGTTTGATGCAACACAGAGATCGGATCTGACACGATTCTGATTTGGGTTTTCTTGATCCCTATCTGACCCCGTGCTCTCTGATCTGTTTGTGTTACTTGATCTATGATACTTGTGTTACTGTCTATGATTCTTTTATTACTCATGCCAATCGGTACGTTCATCTTCTTCCTTTCTCCCAAAGGCGAAGATCGATCGGTCATTCTAATATTTCCTTTTTACTTTATCGTTTTGTGTGATTGAGGGTTTTTTATCTGCAGATTGTCAACGATCGCGAGACCGGAAGGTCAAGGGGGTTCGGATTCGTGACGTTCTCCTCAGAGCAGTCCATGAGAGATGCGATCGACGGCATGAACGGTCAGAGCCTTGATGGCCGGAGCATTACGGTGAACGAAGCTCAATCTCGTGGAAGAGGAGGCGGCGGCGGGGGTGGGTACGGCGGCGGGAGTGGTTATAGCCGTGGTGGAGGCGGATACGGAAACGGAGGTGGACGCCGCGAGGGTGGATACTACAGGAACGGTGGAGGATACGGCAGTGGCGGTGGTTATGGTGATCGTGGATCTCGCTACTCTCGTGGCGGCGGCGAGTCAGATGGAAGCTGGAGGAATTAAGTAGATTGATCAGTGCAGGATTATATATAGAATAATGGAGTTTTTAGGGTATTATTAGACAGACCTTTCTGGGTTCAGGGTTATTTGCTTAGTATTGAACGCTGTGGTTTCCGTTATGGTTCTGTTTCGTGTGATTTTAATCTTGTGGTTTTTAGCAGCGAAATTATGTCATTGGTTATTTTGTAATCAATGGATTTAATATCCAGGAATTGAAAGCCAAGAATTAATATCAATTCATCTCGCTATTTTCTTTGTATAGTGATCTATGTTTCGGCGGGACTGCATGAACGCAGAATCATAATAAACAAATCTGGTAAAAGAAGAAATAATGAACAAATAATTTGCACGTCTGTGCCAATTGTTTGCACCTATGTGCTTTCTTTTTGCTGACCCACCCGATTTTTTGGACATTTGGTACTTATTATCTTGCATTAAGAGTTTGTGGTCCGAAGCAAGATTCTTACAGGAATACCATATTATAAGCAATCTGAGTCCGCCGACCGCTGTCCACGTTCTGTAAGGCTAACTCATTCTATAAACTTCTTCCGGCGAATCTTGCTTGCCGATTTGATAAATTTCATTTGCATGCTATTGCAATGGTGTTTTGGGCCACAAGGGTATATCATTAACGAGTCGAACAAATTAGCTTCAATCCATATATGCAAATCTTAAATCCCAGCACTTTGCCTAGCTTTCCTGCAATCAAGTTGTGCAAATGTTCCAAAGCAAAGCAAGCATCGTGAGCCTTCTAACAAGAAAAATTCAAAAACAGAGCATGCAGATTTTCCTTGTCATGTATTGCAGCAATCAGATTTACCATTTGTCCGTTACACAGTTCTATCTGGCGCTTCAATCCACCAACTGGTAACCTCATTTGAGCCGTACCAGTATGATCAAGAAGATTGTTGGTTTCTGATAGAATCCTGCTGAAATAACAATAACACCAGAAGGAATAAATGAGGGGAAGTATTGAGGTTTTTACTATTAGAATCCGAAAGAATATAACCCTAATTTTGTCAAAATCCTATTCCCTGTTACAATGCCAACTGAAATCAACAAAGCAACAATACATAAATCACAAGAACAACACTGGACCACTGGCGTTTGAGAGGTCAGACTCTCCTAAATACTAAATACACTTGACAATACGAAATAGTCCAGAATGTAGCCTCACGGCTGAAAGACATTAAGGACCCCAAAAAGTGACTTACACAGCCCACATCGTAGGTCATGCCTCTAGGTAGCCCCCAAAACATAAATAAGGTAGCATTACTTTTCCTTGTTATCAGGATCCATAGGACAAACACTTGAACCAGCGGTGAATTCTTTTTCTGCCCTTAGTCTCCCTTGATTTCCTCCTATAGGTTTTAATGAACTTATCAGCTCTGAGTTTCCCTCTGCAACTTTGACCCCAATTTTCCGCCAGTCCTATTGCAATATTAAAACGTATGCATACTCGAATGGTCCCGCCCTTCTCAATTGCAATCTCTTTCCCTACAAGTCGTACCGTTGGAATCTGATTTGGTATTGTGCGTCTTCCACTTATTTGATCTCTAGTTCAAGCGACTTGAATCCCCCACTCAATGGCATGACCAACAACTTTCATTCTAATTCCTAATCAAATGTAATGTTTAGAGCGTTCTGCTTGATTATCATTTACCGACACTGGTTTTTAAATTTGATTGGTTGTTGGTTTCGTTAGCTAATTGACCACCAATTTTTGAATTCGGGTATTTAGTGGACGCCTGATTGCATAGGAGGCGCTCCACAAAATTACTAACAAGAACTAAGAGATAGCTTAAGCTAAACTTGAGAGAGAAGAGAGGAGCAAAAAGAGTACCAAATTCAACATTCTAATCATAAGGGGAAGAAGACATCGAGAAGTTCAAATGTCAAGCCAATGTTGAGTGTCGGAGGTTTCAATGCCATCTTTGGGTGCCTTCTATGAGGTATGAGCAATGTTTCGTTAATGCTGAGGAGGCCCTGTGTGTGAGTGTGCCGCTTGTGAAAGGGGCATGCTTTCCTTTTGTTTTTCCTGTATTCTTTATTGCGACCCAAGTGGGAGAATTATTTTCTATATTCGTTGTACTTAAAACAATTGTTTCTCTCTCGCCCATTTTATCATTGTGTTCCAATGCTCTTTATATACTTCGGCAACATCAAGGCAAGTTGTAACATGACGGCACTATGATCCGTATATCGTATGTTGCAGCGCGTTTTTGTTAAGTTGTGTGACTACTTGGATTTCTCCTGTCCTCGTGTGGGCGTGCATGTATAATTTGATAACTGTACATATAGCATGGTTAATAACTCAACAGGCTTATTTTGAGTTTGGCCACTATTTGTCTTCTTTGCAACTGTATAGTTATCACTTATCAGCATTGCTATGCTTAGCATCTGCATGATGCATTTCGAAAGCTTCTGGTCGATTTTTTTCTGTTTGTTGATGGCATGATTTGATACCGACCAAACTTGAGGAACTTGTGGTAAGTTCAAAATTTGCGTGCTAACAACAAAAGTTGGATATTACTTACCGCACTAATTAACTACATCAGACAGAGGTGTAATTTGGATGATATGTAAAATTAGATGGACTAACGGCCCAAGTTATCCTAAGTTCACTCACCAACTTTGCGTTTTATAAGAGCCATTTGCCACTATGAAGTATGTAGAGAAATCAACCATGAGTCCCTGATCATCATTTGATTGTTTGACTGAGGTGAAATCGTTCTGCATCCAGGTTTTAACTGTACTGTTTGATACGAATCGTGGAGGGGGGAAACAAAAAGAAAAAAATAAAAGGTCAAGCATAGGCGTGAGAGCAGTCTGCTATTGTCACACATAAAAAAATGCGAGGTACGTACAGTTACGACTGTCATTTTTGTCGGCATCATAATCTAAAGAAAGGGGGCTCTTTACTGTAGCTGTAGTCAATCAATAGCATTAAGGTGTTGATATATCGATCAATAGTATCGGGTTTTGCTCTATCACTTTGATTAATGCATTTTGAAATACTGAGAGATAAGGAGTGAATTTGAGTTTTAGGCTTATGAGTTCATGTGACCTTGCACCTTAGTATAAGGCAAGCAGCAGCAACTTATGACAAAGCAAGAAATTTTGTAAGGTTAAGATATCCAAGAAACTTCCAGAATGATCCAAAAGATGTTGGAGTGATTTAAAACAATCAAGAAGGCACCAACATACTGGTATTCTCCAAAAAAACTTAGAATCTCTAGAATAAAATGAAGAGTGCATGAAGTATTTAAATTATTTTAGAAATATTTGTCTCTTGTAAATTCTAAAATTTTTTTTGTAAATATATATATATATATATATATATTTCTTGTATATGTTTTTACATAATACTTTGAAGAATGAACATATATCGTCGCATTGATTAATCTCAATTGCCTATTAAGGAGGTAGGAACTTCTTAGAAGAAGGAGGCTTAAGACTACCCCCTCACCCCTTATTTGTAATCATCAAATAAAGTTGTAAGCTTTCAAGTTCATTTACTCGAGCTCTCTACTTTTTGTGTTCTAAATCTTTGTCCACATTTTAAAAGTTTGATTGACTTAATTAAGATCAAGAGGCTAATCAAATTATAACCGACATGGTTCAAAAAAAAAAAGAGAGTTTCTAGGTTGTGATAAACTGCCATGGACAGAGCTCATTGATTTGGATCTTGACACCATGAGCATAGAAAAAGAATGGGCCCAATTTACATATCCTGTTGTGCCTAGTTTAAGCAAGAGATGGCTGAGAGTTTTGTTTGATGATCTTATAATTGCATCAAATATGGGCCCAACAAATTCATCCCAGTCTGGTTTAATTAGCCCTTGCAAAACTGTCACTCGTTGTACTCGGGCCAAGTTTAGAAACCCCGTTGCATATAAATAATGCAACTTACTTTTAGTTTCAACTTTCATGCATATGCAAGTTAAGAACTCCTTTTCATTAATGTTTATGCGTTTAGAAAAGAGTGATGTATAAGTCGATAGGAATAGTTTTAATATTCGAATTTTTAACGATCTATTGTTTGGAAACGCATTTAGGTATGAGGTGTGTCTCCTGATTTGTTTGTAGCTGCATAGTTTTAATCATGGTGGCCTTGTCATTTAAAAAAAAAAAAGTAATGGATATGCTTGTGTAAGATTCTTGTCTCATAAGTACTTGTACTATTTTCTATCTACTTCCTCTAATTCTATTTCCTCTAATTTTATTTATAAGGTAAAGAAATTTTTTTTAAGTTTTATTCATAAGTTACGTTATTAAATTTTTATTATTAATTTCTTCTTTTACCCTATATTAAATGTTAGAAAAAAAAATATGTTGTTGAAATATGTAAATTTAACAAAAGTAAAATTAAAAATTTATTAAATTTTAAGATAGAGTTAATAAATTTTAAGTTTTTTTAAATACTAGTAAAATATGTTAAAAATTATTTATAAAGAGGGTTAAAGGGGTATTTCTTTCTAGGTGCAATCTCTTACATATATTTTATGAATGTAAAGGCTTCGTACTAGTTAAGTAGCTTGTCACTTCTCACTCAAATTAAAAATATTGACATTAAAATACTTGAAAGATTTAGAATATATTTGAAAGGATCCATTCTCCTGTGTGTCTTTTATGAATTTGGAAGACTGCTTATATTCACAAACTCGAATGGATAATGGAAGGAAGATCAACTGGTGGGATTGTGATCAACATGATAGCCATTGTAGTTTGATTTGATTGATTAATGATGCTAAGAGTAACACGCTTCAATCTGACTTTGTTGGACAACGTTAATAAGAGATTAATTATTTTGAAACCATTTCAGCCTCCGTCAATTGGCCGTGGCCACTGCATTTGTTTTTCACCACACGTTTCCTTTCCTTTATTTCAATTTCTTTTTTTTTCTTTTGCCGACCATTTCAAGTTTTCAATTAGTATTATGCAAGTCTACCTGCATCAAATGTCCAGACTCTAATTATTATCAGCTTAGACTTATACTTTAGACCAAACAAAATTAAGAGAAAATGACTTAGGGCATGTTTGTTTCTGTTTTTAAAAACTGATTTTTATTTTAAAAATTGTTTGAGTAAATATTTTTCACTTAATTGTTTTTATTTTTTTTTTCATTTTTTACTTTTAAAAATAAAAAAATAAAAATAAATTTTATTTTTTTATTTTTAAAATACACTACATTTGATTATTAAAAATTATAATTACTTTGATCAATTATTATTATTATT